AGAAGCTCGAGCACAACCACTACCTCCTCCCCGGTCAGAAGGGTCACGGCTACGAGGGATGGCTCGGAACATCGTACGCACCCATTGACATCGTCACATCTGACCCCAAGCTTCTCAGCTTGGTTGGCGGTGCCGCTTTTGCCCTTTCCAACATGACCAACGCCATCGTCAACCTTGGTACTCTTATTGCTGGTGATGCCAACGCCGACACCGAGAGCCGTGACAAGTCCAACGCTCTCTACCAAATCCCTCTCTCCACCACCGACGGCAAGCGCACTGGATCCCGCGAGTTCGTTCTCGCTGTCCGTGACGCAAAGAACGAGGACGGCAGCAAGCAGTACCCTCTCGATGTCAGACTCAACTGCCACGTTACCAAGATCACCTTCGACCAGGACGTTACTCCTCCCCGCGCTACCGGTGTCGAGTTCCTTGACGGCCAGTACCTCTACAAGGCCAGCCCCAAGAACACCGGCGCAGCTGGTGAGCCCGGTTCTGCTACCGCTTCCAAGGAGGTCATCGTCGCCGGAGGAACCTACAACTCTCCCCAACTCCTCAAGCTCAGCGGTGTCGGCCCAGCCGACGAGCTGAACAAGTTCGACATCCCCGTCGTTGCTGACCTCCCCGGTGTCGGAACCAACCTCCAAGACCACTACGAGATCAACGTCCAGGGCAAGGCTCCTTCCGACTTCTCCGCCCTGAACGGCTGCACTTTCGGTAACACCGACGACGACGCCTGCATCGACCGCTGGGAGAAATCCATCCTCGGCAACCGCGGCATCTACGCTTCCCCCGGTCTCGGTGCCACCATGTTCTACAAGTCCAGCGTCTCCGAGCGCGACGAGTACGACATCTTCGCCTTCGGTGGCCCCGTCAACTTCCGCGGTTACTTCCCCGGCTACAGCTACAACGCCACCTCCGAGCACGACTGGTTCACCTGGGCCATCCTCAAGGCGCACCCGCGCAACAACGCTGGAACAGTTGCGCTCCGCTCTGCCGACCCTCTCGACGTCCCCGAGATCACTTACAACTACTTCGACACCGGTGTTGGCGACTACGAGAAGGATCTCACTGCCCTCACCGAGGCCGTCGACCTCGCCCGTGACTCTTTCAAGCGCCAACTCGTCCCCATTGACGAAGTCCTGCCCGGCAAGGACGCCAACACCCCCGAGAAGATTGCTCAGTACGCCAAGGACACTGCTTGGGGTCACCACTGCTCGTCTACCTGCCCCATTGGTGCTGACGACGATGAGATGGCTGTTCTTGACTCCAAGTTCCAGGTCCGTGGTGTTGCTGGATTGAGGGTTGTTGACGCTAGTGTTTTCCCTAAGATTCCTGGTACCTTCACTGCTGTGTCTACGTACATGGTTGCGGAGAAGGCGGCGGATGTTATTCTCGCTGCTGCTGAGGAGGCTTAGATGGGGGTGGGATTGGAGATGATCGCTTGTATATATTGATGATGTAGTGACTTGGTCATGAGAAGAATATGATATTGATTACACAGTTTGGTACTTGCTACGTTCCCTTAACCTCTTTACGCCTCATTCTGAGAGCTACGTAACTTAAGCTTGCTTGCTGTACGTTGTTCTACACTCCAACACTCGTCGAGACCATAACTGGCTTGTCGTAGTTTACAAGAAAGTCAAGGGGATCAGAGAATTTAATGCAGCTTGAGAATGAGTTTTATCTTTCCAGAAACTCGAATTTCTAAAAAAAAAAAAAGAAGCAATACATCAAGTGGTGGAGGCTGAACACTGCGGACCGGGTGGGGGGGGGGAGGGATGCATCGTCACGTGACCGGCACACTCCACATGCTGCCCGTGCCCAGGAGCAGCCAAAACCCATCAAGTCGGCTCAAGCTGTCGACATCATTTTTGGACTAACCACATCAAGTTAGAGCACACCAAATCGTTATGCGATTCCGCAAGTCTTCGCTGTAACGCCTTGAAACTCAAAATTTGAGCTGAAAATGAGCTCTCAAGACCTATTCAGACTCTACTACCTTTTCTCCGTTTTCGAAATCACTTTCTGGACGTTTGTTGTTGTGTTGTGCTCGATTCTGTACTCAGATTGACTAGAAAAGGCTTGGCGGCGGAGCTACGACCCCTTCGCCTCCGATGGCCGACCCCACCAACGTGAGTGAAGCCTACTTGTTCTGCGCCGGTGTGATTCTATCCAATCATCGCCCTGTATCTCATTGACTCCTTCTGACGCTGCCTCCAATGCGCGCTTTCTCGTCTGCCTTGCTAACACACGATTACGTCTAGTTTCTCGACGCAGCAACGACATCAGCCCAACCAGATTTTGTGAATTCCAGCGACGAAAGGTATTCGCAATTTTCTTCTAATAGAGCATCACGTACTGTAGCCTCACGTATCAGCCTGCAAGGGTGCTCCGTACAGTAACTGAGCTGCGTACGCAAAGCGTCAATTGCAGTAGCAGCTTTGATATCCACTCATACGGTACTGACAATACTACGCACTAGTAGCATCTGGAACGAAGCCGCTTCAGACGTCGATGGGCAGGATGCCTTATATCACGACGCTAACAATCCATATTCGGAGCCTGACAGCTTCTTCGATGTCGATGGTCACGTCCCGCAAGTCGATAGCTGGACCAGCTACTTTACCCAGGATATCCCGCACAATGGCTACGTTTCTCTAGGTGACATAGAACACGGCAACACTCTCAGTGTTTCTGTCACCGCTACGCAGCCGCCCCAGTCTCTTTTGAACGGCCAATATGGCGAAGACGTGCAAGATCAAAACAATTTGTCGAACGTTCGGTTTTCACATGATGTGTCTAGTGGCTACGATGCTGCTGAGGAATGCATGTATACAGATGTTCCCGGCTTTGACTTCGACATGCAAGGTTTGGAGTTCGCGTATGCAGGTACCATGGAACAGCCAGACGCCCATCTGCGGATCTTAACGTCGCCAAACGATTCATGTCAAATGCGTCCCAACCTGTCTGTATGTCAACACCGAGTGCAAATCGTTCGGCGCTGGCTTTCCGATCATGCATTTCGACCTTATCCCACCCCAACAGAGAAAGCGGCGCTTGCTGCATCTGCCGGATGCTCTGAGCATCAACTCAATGTCTGTTTCAGGAATCTTCGGGCCCGTGAAAAGCATAGTAAGCTTGTACGTCATGTTCCCATTACCCCTCTAATAATGCATCTAGTATTTGAAGGCAATTCCAACATAGGAGATGGCAGTAGTTCCACCGATACTAGGCTGCGCGCCGATATGTCGCCTCAGTCAAGCTACGCACAACCTGGCTTAGTTTCTTGCGCTGACGAACCGCCCGCAACGAACACGAGCGACAGCAGTCCATGGCCTTCATCGTCTGATTCAGGCTGTCCTACTTCAGATCACAATCAAGATGCTGAAACTCATGTCTTCCAATCTTCTGAAGCAGAATCAGCGCATCGGGTACCCTTCAGCGTGTCCGCTCCAAAGCGTAAAGGCCGGAGGTACCACGCTCAGAGACAACGACACGGCACGAGCGAACACCTGTCTTGTGCGACACAGAATACAACCTCTTCTTCTAATCTCCAAGAACTCGACAAAAGGTTTCCTTGCACTGTATGTGTCAAGGCCTTCAAAGACGCTTCGGGGTGGAAGAGGCATGAGGCTAGTGTGCACGGCTATAACGATCGGGAATGGATATGCGTGTTGACTGACGCTTTCAAACTGCAGGCTGAATGTGTCTTCTGCTTGGAGCCAATGGATGCGATCGACCATCTTGACAAGCATGCAATCGATCCTTGTTCGCACAAGTGCACCGCCGAACGTAGTTTTCCTCGAAAGGATCTTCTCAAACAGCACATCTTGCTTGCGCATCTCGCAGATGCACCTGCGTCGAACAAGAAGAGATTCGAGGTACCTAAGGAATGGTCAAGAGAATTGAAGATGTCGCCTGGAGGACCTGGCTCGCGCTGGTGTGGGTTCTGCAGATGTATGCTTGAGACTACTGCGGAGAGGATGGATCATGTCGCGCAACACTTTCGCGACGGTCAGAAAGTTACGAGTTGGATTCGGATCTAAGGGGTCAATCGCTGGGTGTTTTCCGGTGTTTCTGTTACTGTGTCTTTTAGCGCACTTACGATCGTTGTCATGAACTTCACGAAATTACTTGATCATCTTCGCCTAATAAAATTCTTGGTAATTCTTTCAAGTGAATTTTGTCGCATCCGCTGCTCACTGTTCGTTATTTGGCTAAAGCCTGCGTTCTACGATCTTTTGCGCAGCTGCCCGGGTGGAACAACAGCCGAGTGCGAGTGCGCGGCTTTCAAGGTTCGCGACGCGGGGCTAGCGTGGAGCGCACGCGAGCGCGTCACCCAGCGCAGCCGATACCTAGGTACTCTCTGGTCTTCCGAGAAAGTGCATTGCCATGCAGTCATGCTATCAGCGTTTCGACCCAGCATCATACTGCGACATTCGGTCCGCGCTAATGCACGTCTTGTCGCGACCCAGGCCTCTCGAGCTCTCACCATAACGTGTCGGGGTAAATACAGCGCGCTCCCAGCCTCGTCAATAAGCCAACAAAACCAGGCGCACCGATCGACCGTGAGGACGTGTTCAAGTACACGAACGGGCGTTTCTTAGCAAATGAGAAGAAAGCGGTTGATCGTAGATATGTAACATTCGACATAGATCAGCTTTGCGCCGTAGCTGCGACTACTGGTGGGCGGCACTCGCGCGTCTGCGCGATCGACAAAATGGAAGGAGGATTTAGCAAAGCAGTTCTTTTGCGCAAAGAAGATGGCAGCGAGGTCGTTGCGAAGATACCTTTCCCTATCGCGGGGCCACCAAAGTACACCACGGCGTCGGAGGTGGCTGTTCTCAAATACCGTACGTCCTCGTTGTTCTGGAAAGCCTGCGTGACATCGGCTCATCCAATCGCTGTCGGCAGTAAACAAGTATACTCAAGTCCCAGCACCGAAAGTTTTAGCATGGAACGCTGATCGGTCAAACCCGGTCGGTGCTGAGTACATCATCATGGAAAAGGCTCCTGGGGTTCAGCAATACGAAGTGTGGAGAGATCTGAATGACTGGGAGCGATTCAAATTCTTTGGCCAATTGACCGAATACGAAAAACAGATGGCTGAAATTCGGTTCCCAGCGAGTGGAAGTCTTTACCTTCTGGAGTCAATGACAGAAAGCGACACACACGTCGCTCTGAGCCAAGAGACTGACCCTGTGGGAGAGTTCTGCATAGGCCCCTCATGCGAGCGAGGATGGCATACTACGGAGGCATTAGCAAGTGCAAGCCCTCGATTTGATCAGGGGCCATGTAAGTACGATCCTGGACGATTCGCGTCATAGCTGACTTTATCAGGGCCGGATTTGTCTTCATATGGAACTGCTCTCGTCGAACGAGAGCTCGCAATCCTACAAAAGCGCACTTCCGATGCAACATTTGATTCACCGCGAGGAACTCTCGAGGAGCAGATCGATACCCTTAATATGACCAAAGAGGTCATGTCTCGACTGAACGACCGCACACTCATCGGGAAAGTTTCCGAGCCGGTGCTATGGCACACTGACCTCCATATGGGCAACATATACGTGTCAGGGCGGATGCCACCACAAATCTCATCGATCATCGACTGGCAGTCTATTGTAGTTTCGCCACTGTTTTTGCAAGCACGATTTCCGAAATTTCTTACAGTCGATGATGACTATAAATTGGGTACTATCAAGCTTCCAGACCCGCCGCCTGATCTAGACAAAATGGATGCTAGAGATAGGGAACTGGCTGAGTACAAGTTTGAGCAAGCCAAAGAAGCCAAGGTGTACGAAGTCAGTACCGCAGCCACGAATATGCGGGCTTGGAGGTGTATGCTGATATCATCATTCCTCCGCGAGCTCTTCACTCGGTGCGGAGAAGTCTCGGAAGAGGGCGAGATACCACTTCGCGCGTGTCTCCTCCAGGTTGCTGATTTATGGGACGAAATTAGCTTCGAAGGCGAATGTCCGCTCAACTTCAGCGAAGGGGATGTGCAAAGGCTTGAGCAACAGTTCGAAAAGTACAGTAACTACCACAAAGTACACGAATTTGCGAGAGGAATCCTTAATGCTGATTTCGAAGGCTGGATCAATCCGATGTTGGACTTCGCTGCGAAACAACAGCAGAACAAGGAATTGCTAGAAGAGTTTGTGCGCAGGAGTAGTGAGTTTGGCATGACACCAGAGGAGATGAGGAGAATATGGCCGTACTCGGAACGGTAGCATTTGATTCAAGGATGTGAGAGCGTCGCGCATCGTCGTTGAGTTAGAGGCAGTTACCTGGTAGCTTACACGATCCTAGCATACAAAACCGCGCAACACTTCGATTTGAAGCTTCACAAACAGCTGGAAGCCTTTCACGTTTGTGCGTTCACCGCTGCCGCCTTCTCATCACTAGTGGCATCCGCGCCATCTGCTTCCTGCTTCGACGTGTCGTGGGCGGATTTTCCCTGCGCTACTTTCGGAATGTACTCTGGTGACTCAAGTTCTCTTGCCGGTAGAGCCCCATAGAGCTCGGCAGGCCCATGACTATCGGCGCATTTCGCATTGACCTCACGGTTTCTCGTATCTCCCATCATTTCTCCCGCGCCAATGTGGTGTTGTGTCCATTTCTGTTCGTGGCCGGAAGTGTCCCAAGAGTATGTGGGAGGGGCTATACGCAGTCAGTAATGAGACTCATCTGTTTCATGTTATGGAAGCGTACGTGAGAATCCGTTTGATGGTGCGAGACCAGTAGTTGTTGCAGGCGATGCCAATTCGGCCTTTGGTATCACTTGGCCGTTCGCTGCCTCTGCTTCCGCATTCGCTTTCTTGTTGCGCCGGCGGCGAAACAGGAAGAACACGACTGCAGCGATAATAATAATTCCAGCAAGCGAGCCCCCAACAGCACCTCCAATGACTCCGCTAGAAACTCCATCGGGGCTGGCGGAAGCTGATGGTGTAGGCGTATCACTGGCGGGCGCAGATGTGCTGACAGCGGTCGAAAATGCCGTGGGTGCAGGAACAGTGGAAGAAAGCGCAACGTTCAAGTCATGGAAGTAGTAGTACTGATCCGGTCGGTCCCAAAACGCTGGCTCTAGTTGGCCCTCCGGACATGTCGAGTTGTTCATGCACGCATCTTCGTTGCAACACCCATAAAATGTCGGAGCCATCGAACAAGTCCAGAATGGTGTCGTTCCACCACAAGATGCGCCAGGTGATATGTTGTTGAGTCTTGGATTGCGACCCGCTGGTTTCAGTGCATCGCCGAAGCAGGCATGCTGGCATGGATCCGACATGCAGCATCCGACGAATTTTGTACCTGTCTCGCAGACGTACCTGGTGACTGTCAGTTCCGTACTACGAATTCGCGCTTCGGTCGTCGAAGGGCATGTTGGATCTCATGTCAAATCGTTGACGCACCAAGTACCACCATCTGGACAGAAGAAGTCTCCTGACTCAGCTGCTGCATAGCTGGGATCTGCCATGTCGAAGATGCTATATTGAATACGAGAAAATTACAACGTTGCAGCAAGTTAAAGCCGCAGAGAAAAGTGTGACAAGGTATCAGACTGAGATATCGACCTACGAAGGCGTGCGCAGCAGCCCCCAGGCACCCGGCATGCTTAAGAGCTGGCTATCGCAGATCCAAGAACGCCAAGTAATTGCAACCCAAGACATATATTGCTGTCATGACGCAGTTGCAACGGCTATGGCAAGATATGCCCTGAATGATCCAGTGAAGGGCCCCCTGGCGGCCTATTCGTCCTTCATGGCTGCAGAATGGGCTGTCATGCGAGCAGCGTTCGCATACGGTAATCCAGACGCCACAGGACAGGGGACAGCTCGCGTAGCGAGCCTATAGAAGGTTCAGAGACTGAGAAAGACAGAAAGCTGGGGCCGGTCAGACTAGACGTTGGTGAGGATCAGACCTCAAGATGGTAGGTGGGTTGATTCGTTCAAAGCGCGCTGATTGGCGGGAGTATGCATTTTGCCAGATGCTCATACATGTGTTAAGTAAGGGCGTGGTCAATACTTGGAGTGTAAGCGGTATGTCTACTGCAAGGGTTGCCCTTTCAGATAACGGGTATCTCCCTTCCAGAAGTCCACGCCCTCATGCGACTGGAAAATTCTGCTTCGTTGCGCACTGCTGAGTGCTCATGAGCTCTAAGGTAGGATGATAAGCAGCGTCTGGAACAACCATTTTACCGTCCTTTATGGTATCGCAATTCCTTCTTGCTGGTTGGAGATGCCCCATCTGTAGCAACTCGTCCTTGGTAAATTGAAATGGCATGAGGTACTATGTTTGTCGTAGAAATGCATCTGCGTAGGCGATGCATGAGGTACGCAATGCTAATCTCTAAATGGCATGCGCTATCGCTACCTAGGTTTTGACTCAGTAGAACAAGAGCAGTAACGGTTTTTGTATGAGAACAATGCATGTTAGCGGCCCTTGCGTGCCTTCCTTCGCTGTTTTCTCGGAGATCTTTCCATTACATATCCCCGTGTATTAGTCTTCGAGCCCCATGCTGCTGCAACGTGGAGAGCGCTTCGATTCATGTAAGTACGGACGGCATTTCGCATTCGCTCATATCATCTGTGGGAACTTTGTGACTGTTGATCTAGATGGTGTGGGAGTGGGCGTGCTGAATCTGCCATGTCGCGGTAATTCCTCGGGCAGACTAGGCAAGAAGGCTGCCCCGCACCGGCACCCCGCGTAGCGCAGCGCAGCGTACCTTCTCTTGTCTGTTCCTCAACTGCGCATTACGAAGTACCTAAAAGATGTCGCCGCACTAACATCAATTATCTGATGCTTGTTTTTTCGCTGCCAAAGCTTCGTACAATAGGATCGACATTATCTACGGTGCTGCTTCGAGCGGATAATAGAATAGCTGATCCCTTCTGATGAAAGCCAGCACAGGCCGCTCCAACATGGTAGTGTTCAAGAATGAGGTGCAGCATGTAAGTAAAAGTTCGTAGATGTGTGTTGTATTACTCATGTAAGTTGCTAGCCTATCGCTGCGTTTCAAGCAGCCGCAATGCCCGAGCTGTTCAGTTCAATGCCTTCCAGTCCACAGATCCATGTGCAATATCTCGCCCCAGGACATGAACTCATCACCCCAGAACAATTTCACGCATCAAACCCAGAGAACATTACGGGCATGCTCGCGAAAATGTCACCAACGATAGCAGTAAAATGGGGGCACCATGCTTCTCTCATCGAAGCTAAGAATATGCTGTATGTGGCTGAGAATACATCAATTCCCGTCCCAAAGCTATATGCAGCATATGCATACGGACCTATAGACCGAGACCTTAATGACCATGCAACCGTCTACGATGTATACATCTTTATGGAGTTTATCGAAGGCGAAGACTTGAGAAAGTCATGGGATAAACGCACCTCTACTGAGAAGCAAGCGATCTCGGCGGACCTTAAGAAGCACATGGACGAGCTGCGCTCTCTTCCGCCAGCCCCCTACATCGGATCTGTGGACGAAGGACCAGTCACTGATAATATGTTAGAATGGTCAACATCTTGTCGCGGTATATCATCATGCCCATATCAAGCTATTGATAGCGTATTTCTGACTAGACGTGTAGGTCCGTTCAAAAATGTAGGAGACTTCAATACTACAATCATAGACGCCTTTATCGCCAAGTCCAAAGGCCAGGTTGGCCCTTACATTCGTGGCATGGTCAATGCACATAAGCATGGTATTGTCTTCACTCATGGGGATCTCAGACCTGACAACATCATCGTCAAGGATGGTCGTGTGGCTGCAGTCATCGACTGGGAGATGTCAGGGTGGTACCCGGAATATTGGGAGTTCGCCAAGGCATTCTACATCGAGTGGTTTGTCAATGATTGGGGATCTTGAACCTTATTACTGTGAGCAGTTGATGCATGCCAGATTGATGGAGGTTTTGTGGTAGTTGATGATAGAGCTGCTGCTACTGGCGTTCATAGGGCAATTTGGGTAACTGGCATTCGTTCCATTGGTCTCATGCTACGTTCTTCTTGAAATCGTTCTCTACGCTTGGATTTGCGGTCTGGTTCGCTTGACTTCCACATGCATTACTACTATGGCACCTTCAACGATGAGACCATCGCTTACGGTAAGGCCAACATCTTCGGCATTGCATCCACACCCCAAAAGCCGCAAGGATCACAGCAGGCACGCCGACCCCAATCCCAACTTTAGCATCTGTCGACAGTCCCTCTTTTGAGTTATCTGATGAAGGCGCAATAGCCGCAGTTGCTGTCTGAGAAGGTTGGCCAGGCGTTGGTGTACTAGTCGGGTTGGAGAAACGTGTTTGTAACGATGTAGGAATCGGAGTGCTGTGCGGCGTGTATGATGATGTTGGGGTATCCTCGATCTTCCCTGAGTCCGACCGTAGGATAATCGTTCCGTCTTCGTTCACGTATACACCAGAATGGTCGCTGCAACATGTAGTGTTGCCTTTGCCGCAGCAAAAACTGCCATCGGCACAGTGCGAGACGTGGGTGTAATCTGGTTGACGACCTGTACAGTTAGTGCTCCGCGGTAGAAGGTTTTGGTGATGATGCGTACCGCAAGCGTCCCACAGGGGACTACATCCACTGCCCTCCTCGTCCCAGTTCTGATGTGTACATGCGACCACGAAGTACTGCCCTTTCCAGTAGTCGCTGTAGCAAGCGCCTTGGATACATACATCGTCTGCATAGCCGTCGGTTCGATCGAGGTAGCAACACATGTTTGACCCGGGACAGGGCCGTGGAACCATGTCTAAGAGCCCATCGCTTCTATAGCAAACGCCGTAGGCAGGTAACGCGCGAGCTAATAAAAGCACGAGATAAATCAAAGGTAAGAGTGTCCAGAGGTGCTGCGATGCCATTGTGTCAGGAAGAAAAAGAGAGGCTGGAGAGAATCGACCAGACGAAAAGGAGCATGCGACTTGAGTGCTGAAAAGTGATGGGATACAGATATAAAGAGCAGTCTTTTCACCTATGTTTCGCACGTGTATACGCGTATGGCTTCTCGCGCAGAGCACTTCACCGGTTTGTGAGAGCCTGTTAGACACGTGGGCAGACACAATTGCCCTCTTACAGACAGCATCGTCATACCGGGGGCTGTATTGCCTCACGTCGAAGTTGTGTAACTGCTCGACGTGCTGTGTCGTGGCTTGCGCCGGGTTGAAGGCCGGCAGTCGCGTATTTTAGGAACTGGGCGTCGCGCTCTCCATCGCGCGCGCGCGCAGCGATGGAAACTTCCCAACCCTCCACCTCAGTTGCTGTCCATATCGATCGGTTAAGTTTCGTCGCAATGCGTGCTGCCATCTGCCGAAGGTAGCGTTAATTGTCTCAAAAGAATTGAGAAAAGAAGTGAGGCAGCTGCGTGTCGGCCAAGCGGGAAGCTTATTACAGGGCCCCGAGGAGGACCCCACACAGCCACCGCACTAACTCACAAGGAGTAGACCGTGACGAGGTCACAAGCCCTTCATTCAACGTGCAGCTCTGCTATACGATACCAGAATACTTAGAACGGTAGATAAGCTTCGAATCGAGCAAATACTGGTGGTTCATGATTTCGTCCTACAGTATCGAGATCTTCTTCCACGGCCGAGCCGGAGCCAGAGCTAGAGCTTCACCGGCCATATAGCCGTGCATGTAAGCTTCACCAACAACCGCAAACATGTCCTTTCTCGGTCGAAGTATGATCGGGAAATTGCAGCCAGAGATGATGAAGACCACATCACGGGATCGGGCCTCTACTGGGCCAATCCCAATATATCCCTGCTTCGTCACGAAAAGCCGCCGTTGTCGCATGATGTTCCTCATCGTCGGCGCTCTCATATCGTACTCTACGTTACCCCCACCAGTAAGTGTCGTCATTACGATCGAACTATGCCGTTCAGTGGCGAGGTTTGCTCTTTCCGCTGACACTATCTGTCGTGCCTCGGTAGACACAAATCTCGATTTGAGGATGAAGTCGAAGGCCTGTTTGATGAATTCACCGTCGCGCATGGCAGCGATATCTACGTCCCATACCTCAGCAATACTGTCCAACTGTATGCCTAGTACCGTCATCACATGTAAATCCTGGCTGAAGGAACAGTATGGCTTCGAGTTGCCGGCTGCTCGATAGCCATGCCCTTGGAGAACAACCATATCAGTAGACCCCGAATAGCACAGGGTCATCAAGAGATGGCGATTGACAAGTAGAACCGGCTTCTTTGCGTACGCCTCGCGGCGCCAGTCTGGCACCCATGACGGTAAGCCATCCTTACCATGAACGCCGCTGGCCGCCAGGAGGATGTCAAGTCGACCTTCTTTTGCTACGATGTGATGCGCAGTCTCTCGATACACCTGATCCACCGACTTGCGGTAATCAGGCGCCACAGAGACACCTTCAACGTCGCCCACTAATCCCAACACAACGAATACTTTGTCCCTTGGATCTGTGGATGCGCGATCCCAAGTATTCCAAAGCAGCGACGACAGCGAACTTCCATTTACTCTTGCTTTCGAAAGATTTATCGCCAGTGTGTAACGTCGTCGCAGTGTATCCCACTGCAACTTTCTTTTCATGCCTTCCAGAGCATCTCCAATATCGTCCCATGCTTCGGAATAATCCATGGCCATTTGAAAGGTTTTCCATTCAATTATGGAAGTGCCACATTGCAGTATCGCATCCGAAGCACACCATATCTCCTGTACAATCCAGGTCCGCTCCCACCAAGGGCGAGCAAGTAGCTCATCGAGGGCCTCCCAATAGGCCTCCCATTCATTCTTGAAATACTCGTCGTAGGGATTGCCGTCCATGTTATACAGTACGGGAATGCCTGTCACGGCGAAATCGTCCTTTGTAGCTTCCGCAGTTTCCACAGCCACCATGTACTCATCGTATTCGTCGTACCGGCGATCAATCAATTCTTGCAAGCGTGGGTGCAATTCTGGCAGGTCAGGTATTGGCGGGTCTGGTACTGGCAGGTCAGGTACTGGCGGGTCTGGTATTGGCGGGTCTGGTTTTGGTGGGTCTGGTTTTGGCGGATCTGGTATTGGTAGGTCTGGTTTTGGCTCCTTAGCCTGATGAACTCGCCGCGTCAGCGATGTATATACTCGTACAAGGCGAATCTTCAGTCTCTCCCAATAGGTTGGGCTGTTAGCTGGTTCAGATACCTTTTCGTCCAACCTGGACCAATCTCTCGTATACCATCTGCGATGTTTCCTAGCTGTAGCCAACATCTCCAAAAATTCCATGGCCTGTTCGCTCGACTCGGTGGCAGGTCCAATCCACACAACTACGCGCGTCGCATTCTTGTAAATCTTCCTCATGATAGCGACTTGACTATTGCGCTCAGCAATGTCTTTCTGGTTGATGCAAATAGCGTCTATCCAAATCTTGCGCTCTTGTGATGCATGGCGAAGATGCTCGAGTGCGACATAGAGGGTAGCAGTGACAAATAACGAAGAGTCGTTAATCGTGATGGACCGGTCCGGGCCGTCTGTCCCCCAAGCATACGACAGGCACTCATACTTGGGATGCGAGTTGATGTCGGCATGCTCGATACCGAGTTTGATTGCCGATCCCCGCTCTTCAGAAAGGATGGTAATGAGGCGGATATGATCGGGCGCAGTCAGGCTCTTGTATTGATAGGATGGGCAGTCCATGACTATACCACGGCGTTACCAGATGAAAAGATTCGTGACTTCCACTATAGCGGAAGCTGTCTCGATACTGCCAAGCTCAGTTAAGAGACCGACAGATAGGCTTCAATTGAGCGCACGACTAGTGAACCTGGCAGTTGTTGTATTCAACTGTACTAAAAAGCAGTCTGTCAAGTCTGTCGCATGCTCGTTCAGGGTGTCTTGTGCAACACGCACTCGATGCAAAAGATTATGAGGCTGAGGGGCTGTTGGTGTTGCGGGCATCTTATTATCGTAGGAGCCATACCCAATTGAGTTAGGATGCGGGGAGATTTAGGGACAGCTGTCAAGGCCAAATTGCTCTCCACATCGAAACATCGAAACATCAAGGTAAGGGACCGAGGCTAAAAGCAGTTCCAGAACACCGAGTGCGTCAACGACGCTGATGTGGTGTTTTCCTACCTGTCGCGAGGCTCTGCATGGCGCGTCGCAATATCGACTCTAGCCGCAGACGTGGTTATGTCGCGCGCGTTCGAAGTCGCGTCGTCGGATGACGACAGGGCGCACAAACCTCTCTCCACTCCGCCGCCATCTTAGCCGTAGTTCTGCCTACGGAGAATTCTTGTCCACGAGCTCTGTCGCAGGTTAATCAGAATCGGCACGCGCTAACCTCTCGGCTTCATCAAATCGACGGAGAAACTGACGCCATGTGTGCCATTTTGAGGGTGCACAAGCACGCATGGACTGGATCTGGGGTACAATGAAGCTGGGCGTTTTACATCAAAAGGGCGTCTGGCCTCTGGACGTGTCGCTTGCGCGTTATCGACAAGACCTCGATATCTGATCACGATGCTGTCAAACATGATGACGCGATTGGCTTTGCCTTTGGCCATCCTTTCGTTCTGTAGGGCTCTTACATGCACGGGATACATGCACACGTGACTAACGAGATGCAGTCCTATCCTTCGTCAACGGCCTTCCCACCGATGCGCTCGTCGCACGCCAGTCGAAGAGCCTCCGCATCCTGCCGCTAGGTGACTCCATTACCTGGGGTTACATCAACGGCGGCGGTTCAAATGGCTACCGTGAGCGACTGCTGGCCGACCTTAAGTCTGGCGGCTACACCGTTGACTTCGTCGGCACGCAGCAGTCCGGAACCATGGCGGACAAGGACAACCAGGGTTTCCCTGGCTACACCATCTCCCAGATCCGCGGCGTTGCTGCGGGTGGTCTTGCATTGAAGCCCAACGTCGTCCTGCTCCATGCCGGTACCAACGACTTGAACAGAGGAAACCCTTCTTCGGAGCCTGATGCCGATGCGCCAAGACGACTTGGACTCTTGCTCGATGACGTTCTGAAGACAGTCCCCAACGCCGTTGTTATCGTGGCCAAGATCATTCCATCGAAGCAGTCGGGTCTTAACGCCAACATCAAGACTTTCAACAACGCGTTGCCTGCTATCGTCGCCGCCAGGGTCAGCAAGGGATCGAAGGTTTCCATTGTCGATATGAACGTCCTCAGCACGAGCAGCGAGTTGAGCGATAACCTGCACCCGTAGGTGTTACCTCTTTCATTTGGAGACCGCTCAGCTGACTGATCTTATAGGAATGTCGCTGGCTACGCGCGCATGGGTGACATCTGGAACGCGGGCATCAAGGCTGTTGCCGGTTCGATCCCTGCACCTGCTTAGTTGTTCCCAATTCTGGACTTGCGGGGCTGAGGTGCCAACACATAGTAGTGTGGTAGAAGAGGACACGAGAATCAATTCAACTCTCATGCCATGACTCCGATCTTTCCGATAACGCCACTTCCGTCCCCATGTTCTTGACTACCTCCCCACGAGGAGATGTCGATCCCCATGCCCCGGTACCATACGTCGTCCAAAGAAAGTGGTCAGGTTGGTGAAGTAATCTCAAGCCTTTAGCCGAATGCGGGATCAGCATATTAGCTCCGCAACTGCCGACATTGCTTCGATGCCACGAGGTCGTACGGATTAGGTGAAGTTGTGGTGACCTTAATATGTACTTTTTGGTACGGATGGGGTCGGCAGTTGCATGACGAATGTGAAGAATGAGAGGGATAGCAAACCTTTGAGTGTGGGTCGCATTGGGCAGGTATGGAAGCTTCGGAGAACGTCCCTTGGAGTACTTTATCTTCCAAGGCGTCTTCTCTGCATCGTTCTGTACTTCTTCATCATCTACATCCTTCTGTGAAGAGACATTGCGAATCATCATGCTGTTCCCTACTCTCCTCCTCGCCGCCGTCGCGCAGGCTGCGCCTCAGTTCGGTGGCTCTCAGGGCTTCACCATGTTGCGTTTTGGGTGCGCTCAGAACGTTATCGACCGAATCGATCCTCTTGTCAACCCAGGCCAGGCTCCTTCGCCGCACATGCACCAGGTAGTTGGAGGAAATGCTTTCAACGTCACGATGCAGTCGACGGATATCGCCAAGCTTGCGACATGCACTACTTGCGGGTACTCGGAGGATGTAAGTCATTACGGAAGATGGCACGCATGGGAAGCAAAGTTGACGAAGTGGTGACAGCTTTCCAACTACTGGACCGCGAATGTCTACTTCAAGGCCCGCAATGGAACATACAAGCGCGTACCTCAAATTCCTAACAGGGATCTCTTCAACGACAAGTACACTGGCAAGACCACTGGAGGCTTCGTCGTCTACTACGTGTCTGGAGGCAAGGGCCAAGTCACCGCCTTCAAGCCTGTAAGCCATGAACCTCTCCAGGCATCTTCATGCCCTGACAAAGCATACAGGGCTTCCGCATGCTCACCGGTGATGCCACCAACCGTGTCTCCAAGGGTATGAAGACTCAGACTTGCTTCCGATGCTACAACGCGCCCAACTTTGGTGGCGATAACGCCGCGCCTTGCCAGGATGCCAAGTGAGCATGCACGTCTCGTTGTATTCATGACTATGCTGACGCTTCAAGACTCGATACCGAAGGCTTCCCTACGACGCCTTGCCCGGGTGGTATCCGTAGCAATGTTCTCTACCCAACGTAAGTGACCCATCACGAACAACCTCGTGCGCCACTGACCCGTTGACAGATGCTGGGACGGAAAGAACCTAGACTCGCCCGACCACAAGTCGCACGTCGCGTACCCCTCTAACGGCCCGGCCCTGTTCTCTGGTACTGGCACTGGTGGCAATTGCCCGTCGACTCATCCCGTGAAGATCCCACAGGTCATGCTCGAGGTAAGTCGCAATATATTCCAGTCCAGTCCTCACGGCCAGGCTAACACAATTATAGATCGTCTGGGACACCAGCAAGTTCAACAACAAAGCCGAGTGGCCCGCCGACGGCTCGCAGCCATTCGTTCTCTCGACTGGCGACAACACTGGGTATGGACAGCATGGAGACTACGTCTTCGGCTGGAAGGACGACTCGCTGCAGAAGGCTATGGATGATGCCAAGGGCTGCATGGGTGCCAACTGCGGTAGCTTGAAGACGCAGCAGCCTGCTGATGGGAACAAATGTCTTGTGCCCAACCGTGTAAAGGAAGAACGCGACGGCTGGTTGACGGCACTACCGGGTATGGAGGGTATGCCGATGTTGTAGTCGACCTTGTGCAACAATCGAGCTCAAGCAACCAAATCCGGTATCCCCAAGTATGATTGATACAATCTGAATGACCCAAAGTGTGGTACCCTCAATGCTTCGGAAGAGCTTCGTAATAGCGAGCAGCAAGCTTTGCTGCAAATGCCGGGCTTTTTTGATGGCATATACTCTCCATTCACGTAAAGTGAAACACCTCCTTACACTCCGGACAAGAGAACTCGGGTGTAGCGCCTTCTGTAAACATGTATGATGTCGTAGAAGCTGAAGGCCTTGATGCAGAATCACGCGACAACATCTTCCCGATGATGTCACGTAACAGATACATGTTGTTGGAGCTGTATTTGGGCAGTGGTAGCGGCAAACCACGCGGATAAGACTTCACAAGCTCGTGAAACGGTCGACCGTAATACTGGTCATACGAGTCATCCTTTGCCAGCGCTAGAGCGATCTCGACGAAAACACACCCGAGAGAAAATATGTCTGATTTAGAATTTCTCTTTTCTCCCTTCGCCACTTCGGGGGCGCAATACCTCCTGGTGAAGCCTTGTGGATCGCCACTAGTCGTGCTTTGGCCGAGATCCGTATAATCGTACGACAGACCAAAGTCGGTGTACAAGATCCTCCCTTGATGAATCAGTATATTCTGCGGTTTGATGTCTTTGTGCCGAATAGTGTGTTGGTGGATGAAAGCCAAGGCAGACGCCAAACAGCCAAAAGCGTTCCACATGATGTGACGCTGACGTTTGCGCTCGGCGTTAGATGTTTTTTCAAATTTCGAATCTCTGTGCTCCCGGTAATTTTGCAGAAAGTTCGCCAGATCTCCGCCGTCCGCAACAGGCTCGAGAATGATAGCAAGTTCCCTCCCCTTGATGTAAGTGGCGTGCACTTTGGCGATGTGACGATGGGAGGATAAACGTTGCATAATGTGGACTTCATTGAGAAGCCTTCGCTTGGCATCTTCCATGTTGCGAGAATAGACGTTCGTAATAACCTTCCGTGCGAAAACCGATCCTGTCTTACTATGGCGGACCATCTCAACACTTGCGCTGCCACCATGACCGAGCATTCGTACGTGTTCATATACCAAAAGATGGTCGTCATGGTTCTCATCTTCAGGCTGCCGTGACGGAGCGTCCGCGGGTGAGATCTGTACGAAAGTCGACACACCTCCGGCAGTGTTGCGCGCTTGGTGCATGGCCCTCTTTTGGCCTTTGTGAAACTCTCGGCGAACGACGTCCTTAATGTCTAGAGGTGGAGCTTGATCGCTGCCATTGGTAGCCATCTCTGAGTGTAACGGATATAGGTGAAACC